CCGTCCCTGGGTGACATGTACCGCCAGCTCTACGATTTCTTCGGGGACAGCCTGGCCGCCCGCTTCGGCACCGGGACCCCCGCCGACCCCCCGAGCCCCCCGGGGGKCGCACCCGAGGGCGCCCGCAAAGACCCCCCGGCCGAAGGCGCCGCCCGCAAAATGCCCCAACTGACCAACGCCACGGTCAGCCCGAGGGACGAGGAACCGCCCCGGCCGGAGCCACCAAACCCTTCAGGTGGCCGGAGCGTCCCTCAACGCCCGGCCGGAGCCTCCGCCCGTCCCCGCGGGCCACCCCGCGCTCCCTCCGGCCACCGGCCCGGCGCTCGGGACGTGTTCCAGAAATGTCGCTTCGCCCCGCGGGGACCGCCCCGCTTCAGTTTCGTGATCGCGGGGCGYCAGAGCGGCCGCCGCTGCCCCGGCCGGAGGTTCCAGACCAATTTCCCGCAGCCCCCCGGGCCCGGGCTGGGCTCTCGCTACGCGCAGAGGTTGCCCATGATCGGCCGGAGCGCTCGGACATCGCCCCGGTGGCCACGGGCTGAGTACTCGCTGCTGCTGCTGCTCTGAGGGGCAGGGGGGAATGGGCAGTGAAGGGTGGAGGGGTCAATAAATGGTGTGGAGTGGTCAGTGAAGGGTGTGGAGTGGTCAGTGAGGGGTGGGGAGGGGTCAGTAAAGGGTGGGGAGTGGTCAGTGAAGGGTGGGGAGTGGGGGGAATGGTCAGTGAAGGGTGTGGAGGGGTCAGTGAGGGGTGTGGAGTGGTCAGTGAGGGGTGGGGAGGGGTCAATAAAGGGCGTGGAGTGGTCACTGAGGGGTGGGGAATGGGGGGAGCGGTCAATAAAGGGTGTGGAATGGTCAAAAAAATGGTGTGGAGTGGACAATGAGAGGTGTGGAGTGGGGGGAGTGGTCAATAAAGGGTGTGGAGGGGTCAATAAAGGGTGTGGAGTGGTCAGTGAAGGGTGTGGAGTGGGGGAATGGTCAGTGAAGGGTGTGGAGGGGTCAATAAAATGATGTGGAGTGGTCAGTGAGGGGCGTGGAGTTGGGGGAGTGGTCAATAAAGGGCGTGGAGTGGTCAGTGAGAGGTGTGGAATGGTCAAAAAAATCGTGTGGAATGGTCAATAAAGGGCGTGGAATGGTCAGTGAAGGGCGTGGAGGGGTCAATAAATGGTGTGGAATGGTCAAAAAATGGTGTGGTCAGTGAAGGGTGTGGAGGGGTCAATAAAGGGTGGGGAGTGGTCAGTGAGTGGAGTGGAATGGTCAATAAAATGCGTGGAGTGGCCAGTAAAGGGTGTGGAATGGGCAATAAAGGGCGTGGAGGGGTCAATAAAGGGCATGAAGTGGTCAATAAAGGGCGTGGAATGGTCAGTGAGGGGTGTGGAGTGGGGGGAGTGGTCAGTGAGGTGTGGAGTGGTCAATAAAGGGTGGGGAGTGGTCAGTGAGGGGTGTGGAGTGGCCAATAATCGGTGTCCAGTGGTCAATAAAGACAGTTTGGTGGCCAGAAAATGAATTCGGTGGTCAATAAATGGGTGTGGCGGTCAATAAAGAGTGACCAGTGGTCACCAATGGGG